GCAATGTGGCAACCGTTTGTTTTAACGCACAAACCTATGATTGCCTAGTTTATAAAATGCCGCGTTAATCTTTAAAGTTTTTAATTAACCAACAAGTTCGGTGAGTTAAAATTTTCCATTGAACCTTACCATGCCACGCATCTTACGGCACAAAAAGGTGGTTAAGAAATTTTTACGACATATAAATTTAAATTAAAACATTTAATAACAAATAATAATGGTTAGCCTTTTTTATATGTCACATGGGTAAATCGGGATCCATAGAAGAGACAAGGAAACTGTTAGGAACCATTAAGTCTTTCTTTGTGAAAACAATTTTGGCATGGTCAATTTTTTTAACAAGTGTGAGTTGTCCATAAAAATGAATAACTTTTTATGAAATTTGAACAACTTCTGCTTTCCCGATTCTGTTCTTCCAATACAATAAAATCATCTTTTTAGGAAGTTGAGTCGATCAATATTAAAAAAAAATCAATTTTAGTCATTTTATATGAAAAACATTTTATGAATTTTGACCAACTTCTGCTGTCCCGAGTTTTTCAACCATACATAAAACTAAGTCGATCAGCAGTAAAAAAAATTTTGATCAATTTACTCATTTTTATGGACAATTCAACACCAAAAATTGACTATGCCAAAATTGTTCTCACAAAAAAAGACTTAATGGTTCCTAAGACAGTTTCCTTGTATCTTCTACGGTTTCGGATTTCCCCATGCTGTTCCATTTATAAAAAAAACACTGTATAGTCCCACTGTTAATCCATCCATATTGGTTAGTATAACAAACAAAAACTTACATACTAGTGTTAGAAGATACAAATTCATAAATACGTGCTGGGTTTAGGACATACATGTAATTTAGTCCAGTGTTCAAAAAATGAACCCTGGACCCTGCCAGCAACAATACCCACAATGCTATTACCGCTGCCACGAACTCTGCGCATCAAGGATGCCGCTCTTTTTCTCATTATGGCGGCAAATCCGTCTACATGGGCATCGGCGAACATTCCTGACGCGCTACAGAATCGCGGCAGCCGCAACAACATCCGGAATATATTGTTATATACAACTCTTAGAGAGTTGATAGCTTTCTGAGTGTAGTTGACCCATATGCTGCAGGTATAAAAGGTCTGGCAGTAAGCTTTAAAAAGAGATACCTTTACGTTGTCCGTACACCTTGCAAACCTACGGGCCAACATATTACCCCGGACTGCTATTGCCCTACGCTCTCTCTCAATGTCAGTGTTATCCTCCAAGGACTCACTGACCCAATGCCCAAGGTACTTAAATTTAGTAACCCTATTAAGAGGAGTGCCACACAGCTTAACTTCAGGGACGTTATTAAAGCCATTGCTACCCGCTTTGAACACAAGCAACTCACTCTTAATCGCATTGTACCGTAAGCCATGGATCTCAGCATAGCGCTCACATATTGCAACTAGTTTTCTTAGCGCGCTTATTGAAGGACTCAGCAACACCATATCATCCGCGTAACTGATATTATTCACAATCTTTCCATCCAACGAGCATCCGATTCTGGTGTTGCAGAGTTCAACAATTAAACCGTTCATGTATATGTTGAAGAGACTTGGCGAGCTCAATCCCCCCTGCCTCACGCCACACTCCAACCCATACATGCCCGACTTCGCGCCCGCCCATCTAACATAGTTGCGCTGATTATTGTACCAAAACTTAAAAATACTAACTATGTCACCTGGTAGATCAGTTTCATCCTGTAGCTTACTCCACAGCCTATCATATGATACAAGATCAAAAGCTTTGGATAGGTCGAGGAAGCAAGCATAAACAGGAGTTTTCCTAGAGGTATAATACTGGACAGTGTGCTTGGCGAAAATGATGATTTTGCTCATTTTTATTGTAAAGATAAGAAAATTAATAATCTGTATTTCCACCATTAACACGAATCACACAATTACAGCGATTTGGCATGCTTAAGATGAGTTCATCAAAATCACTTTGAGGAATGGCCGCCCATGTGTTTTGTAACAAGTCAAAATATTGTTGTAGAGTATGTACGGTATGCATACTCGGCACAGCTCTTCTTTGAAGCATATCCCATGCGTGCTCAATTGGATTGAGGTCTGGCGATTGAGCAGGCCACGGCAGAACGTTGATACGAGCTTCGGCAAGAATGCGTGATACGACTCTAGCCGTGTGTGGACGTGCGTTGTCATGCATTAGTTGAAATGAATCACCCAACTGGCATCGCAAAGAGATGATAACATCTGAAACAATCCTCTCTGCGTAAACTTGAGCATTGAGGTTACCCCTGATCCAAATGAGATCTGTTCTTTCGCCGATCCAAATACCGGCCCATATCATTATTGTTCCCCCACCATATGGATGAACTTCCTGACAATATCTCAAACGTTCATGACGTCCAGATGTTCTCCAAACTCGAGTACATCTTGTATCCGGTCTCATACCGAAGCGGGATTCATCCGAAAAGCACACATAGCGCCAGTCTTCTTCCTCCCAGTTTCTGTGTTCGCGAGCCCATCGTAAACGGCTCCTGCGATTGCAGGGTGCAATAGGTAGAACTCTGAGCGGCCTTCGGGATCGCAGACCCACTTCACGTAAACGATTTCGGATTGTTTGATCGCTTATTAGCAAGCCTGAGGAGCTGTGGAGCCTCGTAACCAACATCATGGCGGTCATGGTACGATTCCGTCGAGCAGTATTTTGGATATACCGGTCCTGTCTGCGAGTCGTGATGCGAGATCGTCCTCCATGTCGCTCGGCCACGCTGCCCGTCTTGCGATAGCGCGTCCAGAGGCGACTTATGACGCTCTGTGTAGTGTTAAGAGTGAAAGCCACAGCACGTTGCCTGGAACCAGCTTCCAACATTCCGACGGCTCGCATCATCACTTCTCGGGTTAAATGATGTCGTCTCTCCATAATAATGTAAATTGTTTCGGTTCCGATGCAGATATTGTAATGATTTTGTCAAAACCCTATAACTCATTTTTATACAAAACCACATTGACAATCGATTTTCTTCTTATTATCGAATTTTAAACAATATTCCTTATTTAAATGTTAAAACTCACTAAAAAGTATCAATAGCGATACAAAAAAGTTAATATAATTAACCCTAATTGCAGCAATACTCTTAAACGTACTTGATCCCTAGACACTTTTGATGTGTGTATATAGGAGTGGAACTCCAGCCTACGTCTAGTCCCCTGATGACGGAAAGGGGGAGGCGGAATTAAATTATGCCATTCCGTCAAATTCTCTTTGTGATATATCATCATATCGTGATAGTCAAGGCTCTGCAGCTTGTCATCTACTAAACCGAGTCACCTCAAGCCTGTTCACAGTCGCACATAAGTAAGCCTCTTGACACGCTTTTCAAGTTGGTATTTAACAGAACCATCTCACAGGTGGCAGCAGTAATCAATACACGGCCGAACTTGTCCTTGGTACAGCTAAAGCAACTGTCACGATGTGTACTCACCCGAGGCACTAGCCTCTTGGGAACGGGATGAAGTCAGTGACAATCTATGACCACCCTGTACACTGGCTAATGTGGGGTCAGAACCTGAACTTAGTAGGTTCCTGTGCAAGCACAGGTTATAGTGCACTTCTCGTATACCTTAAGGATCGGTAGAGAGGGTCACTATAATAAAAGTAAAGTAGAAAGGTATGGGGCTGTCTCGGTGTCCCGGTGTGTGTTGTCCCTATCTACTGACCCGAGAGATACGGGGTCCCTGGGAGATTACGAGCTCCTCGGTAAGATCAGTCTACGACGGGCGTCCGGGCCAAGTCCTCCACCAGTGATATGCCTTCACGGGCATCACTGGCGGACCCGAACACTGGGTATGGACTCGCCGGGGCTTGTGATAGCTGAAGAGACGAACATGTTCGTCTGCCTCGCTGGTGTGTGGCTGGGGCGTCTGTCTTGTGCGCCGCTAGCTCATCTTAGTAGCGGTAGCAGTAGCTGTGTCCGGACATTGTCACAAGATACTGCGGCCGAATTCTCCGGCATTAGCCTGGAGAGCTAGTAGAGGATGAGCTAGACATTTCTCTGGACCCTCATGCCGCGTAGGATCTCGGAAAAAAGAATAACAGTTCCCCCACCAGTGGATATTTGGGAGTCGACTGTAGTTGAAGTAACCGTTAGTTGTGCAATGCACAACGGGAAATGAGTGTACCAACAATCTGGAAAATCTATCTGGAAAATTGGGAGGGTATTGTACGTGCACCCGGGGCAGCTCACCCAAGGCTCTTGAGAATCGGATGAAGTCAGTGCCAAAGGTCTGTAACAACCCTGTACACGGGCTGATCTGGGGTCAGGACCTGAACTTATAAGGTCCTTGTGCATGCACGGGTTGTAGTGTCTTCCTGCATGGTTATGCAGGAAGACACTAAAAAAAAAGTTTAGGTTAAAAGATTGATATGAGGGTCACTATAATCAAAACACATGTTGAAGATGCGGGGCTGTCCCGGTGTGAAAAAACGCCTCATCCTGGAAAGGATGACAAGCTGCCTCGCTGTATTTTTGGCTATATAGATTCTATGCATCTATGCAAAAAGCAAACCATTTTGCGTTAAACGTGTTGAGCGTAAGTCTTAAGATACAGAACATCGCTTGACTTAATTTGTATGGGAAGATTGTTACGCCAAACTCTGTTATCAATCATAATTTAAAAAACTGATAATTTTTCAGAGATTTGAAACATTCCTCGTATTCCTTAGGCTCTAATCAATCTTTTTACGTTTTTTTTTTCACTAATTGCATAAAATCTTCGTAAAATAAAAGCAAATTACGAAAAAAACTTTAAACAGCGTTTACTCAAAACTAGGTTTCGTGAGATACAAGAGATACGTCTGACACAGTAGCTCGTATCTCTCCCACTGGGTGTCGCAGTAAACAACTACGGGATTGTCAACAAACAGTAGCTCCCTCTGTATTATGATTGCTGCAGCTTAACACTGCTAAGAGAAATTTAAAAAAGAATTTATTTGTTACAGATAGCCACTCAAAAGATGGCGCTGAATTACATCAGTAGATTACTTCTGTCTTTCACCGCTGTACACGGTGGAGTTCTCGGCAGCTTTAGAAGTACGTATGATGACTCATAGGTGGCGCTGTACATGATTGGAAAAAATTATATATTTTACTAAAATGCCTTTGTTGTTTTTTACAGTACCGAGGCAAGCCCCGGGAAGTATTTTTACTGTAGGCAATGGAGAACAATGTTTGGGCTCCGATAGATCGACCGGCGGCGTCTGTCTGTCTAGAAATCAGTGCAACACTCAGGGAGGCAAAGCAATTGGTTTTTGCGGCGTTTTTGCTACTTGTTGCTCGTGTACGTATTTTAATTCTAAAAATATTATTTTTGTTTCAACCATCTCAATAGTATTTAAAAAGGTTTTCTGAGATTTTTTTATATAAATTACGTACGACATAAAACAGTTGTTAATAACTTTTTTACTAGACGGCGCTATGTTTATTTTGCAGTGAACGCGTGTGATATAAGAACGAACACAAAAGTTGCAATATTTATCAACCCACCGCTAAACAGGGAGTCATCGGGCTTAGAATGTTCTTACAACGTTGAAATTAACAACAACAATGTGTGCCAGATGAGAATCGATTTCGAAACTTTCAACCTCGCGCCACCTACTACGGTGAGTAAAAAGTTATTCTACTTGATATTGACTAGGTGGCGCTATAATATGTCGTTAAAAACCAAACCAGTTTATAGATTAATCTAAACTTGTCTATATTATTATTGCAAATAATTGAACTAGAGACACTAAATAAGAAATAAATATTTATCTCAGAGTCTTAGATCATACCTACATTAATTATAATCTTGCGTACATAGTTTTGTAGTTCTGCTTCTGGGCAGTAGATAACATTGATAGTGCCTTCTTATTGCAATTTCATAATGTATTTTCTATTATAGGTTGACCCAGTAGAAAACGTGACCCAAAGACCCGGGTACACTTGCAGGAATGATATCTTCCAAGTGACCAATCTCCAGGCCAATTCTGACTTCCTGCCCCCTCTGTGCGGTGATAACAATGGACAACATTGTAAGTGAATTCCTTATTTATTATTTTGAATTACAATGCACATCTATTGTAACAGTGTTGTAACTCAAAATACGTGAAATTTGATTCACTCCACGTCAATAAATCCTACTTAACTCAAAACAAGACAAACTTTATGTGAGCTAGTCCTGGACAAAGCAGTCCATTCTCAAAAATGTGAATTAATATTTTCATTTTTATTTTTAAATATATTTACAAGTAAATTAAGAAAGTTTAACCTATACATAAATTCCAATAATCTTCGACGGGAAATGAGTAATTCATCTTTCATTCGTTCACCAAAAAATACACTTAATACACTATTAACAGTGCAATATGCAAAAAAATAAAAAGTTATTGCCAGTTTTTATAGACTCAGGTGAAAAGTTGCAATTTTTAAGTTAGCTTAAGTAAACAATGTTAACCTGTTTAACATTAGATATTACATAGGTAAGAACTACAAGTATACCCCGTTGGTGTGGTAGGAAACACTTAGTCCTCTCTAATAACTAATAAAAACGAAAATGGACTGTAAAGTATTTAACATATACACAAAATTAACTGGACAGTGTACTGTTACATTATGGACGAGTTGAACAATTCACCAGCGCTTTCCATGAGTCCATGAAGTCTCTCACATTGTAATATCACCCATTTGCCAAGAGAGAACTCCAGACATTCAGTATTCGTACTTTGGACAAAGAGGACACTAGACCATTACCTTTGTATGTGTGTGTAACTAAGTTTCGATAATTCCTCCAATCGCGTATACAATAAAAGTATAACTTCTGGCTACCAATTTTGCGAATATCGTAATAAACTATTATTTCGCTTAACAACGCCATCTAGTGGATGTTAGATTACATAAAATAGTGACGACCCCCTTAATTTGATTTTGAATACGCTGTCATTTATTTCTTTGTTATATAAGTCTGGTATTTTATTATAAATATAATACATCTTTAAGACACACAAGGGGTCACGTCAACAAATTTATTTATTAATAGTTTGTTTTTAATATCAAGACATCGCCTTCAAGTCGTCAAAACAATGCAAGTAGTCTCATATAATTTTGTAGAGAAACCATTGACTTACAATTATATGGACGTCGGATCCGCGCTAAAAAGTGTCCGAACTTATAGGGCGTTAAAATCGTATACAGAGCGTCATTCACGCTTTAGTCTTCGTTTGTTCCACTGACAGCGAAGCAAGCAAAATTAGACAGTACTGCGATGACATTACAATTTAAATTCAACGTTTTAACTTTTTCATATTCCTTTACATGTCACTACGTTTAAATAGGTTGACTTGGGACATTTTTTTCGTGGTTTTTGTATTAGACCCGTCGTTCATTTATTTGTAAGTCAATGGGAGAAACGTTTGTTTTTTTTCGAAATTTAAACGAGTTCCTATAATTACAAAGAACAATGGCAAAATCATGGTTAAACGAAGTCGTTAGCGTCTTCAAATGTCTTATTTACAAGTTTGAATAAAATAAATTCATTACATTTTTCAAATTATAATAGCGGCCTATCTAAGACTGGAAATAAAATCATATTTAAAAGAAACTCTAATGACTAATTAACAAGAAATTTCAGTACCTACGCATTTAGTTCACATAATATCATGTGTACTGTTTCGACCGATTTGTAATAAGCTAATAAAAGATTAACTACTTTATTACAAAAAAATGTTCTTTTTAGGAGTTTGCCATTGTTCTTTTTCATATGAACGGTAAATTCGTCCTCAAAAATATCTCAAACAATACAGAAACAAAACATACAATTTATTACAAACATTTTACTTCATTTCAACAGTATACGTTCGAGTTAACGCATCAACGAACAGCCGTTCAATCCGCATTAATTTCAAGATTGCGGATCGAAACACACAGCCCAATCTACCCCAGGCCACATGGAAGATCAAGGTCACCCAGTTGGAGTGCTTCAACACTTTGGGGTAAGCGTTCACGTATAAACGAAGATTCAAAAATATTTTACTTAATGCGTGCAGGTAATATTTGGGCTGTATCAAATAATCTTTGGGCCAACACAGATCAATGCAAGTCATGTCTGTGTAGGTCCAAAGGTTACCACGGACATATTTGTTTTGGCCCAAAGGTTAATAAACATAGTCTGTGGTCATTTCAACGCAGTTTACGTAATTATATAAACATGCAACAGTGCAACCTAAAGTAAACATAACCAGTACAGAGTACTAAAAAAACCGACCTCAAAAGTCATTCATTCCCTAGTTGGCCACCCTTAGAGGTGGAATATTTTCTTGAAATTTAAATGGGACCACGTCTGAGGTACCCTCATTCCAACAAAAAAGTTCCTAAACAAAACAAAAAACCACAATAAAAGCTACAATACAAATACTTTGCATAAATTGCTTTAACAATAATTCTGGTTTATATGCCAAACAGCTCAGTGAATTTCCCTGCCAGCAGGCGTATTTCCTGAACGATATAACTGGACTTTTTCAAGGTGTGAGTGAATCTAGGCATGCTCCGCCGTTACTTTCCATCAATCAGCTCAACACGTAGGCTATGGCCGAAGATATCTCGGGTTCAACAGCCAACCAATTTGGAAACCGTTCTAATTGTTGATGTAGATGTTCTGGGCAAAGTCCTGGAGCTAATTACAGTACTGTAAGAACAGGGAATTTCCTAGTTTGAGATCAGGATTGGTATTGTTATCTGCGACATTATCACATCATTATTATTATTATTATTATTACAGTAAATACCGTGATGGCATCTTCGAAGCTATCACTTCTTCGCTGCCGTCTACGCCCCTCACCTCATCGGCTGACAGGGATGAGTACTTGATTGGTATGTTTTTTGTTCCGAACAGAGAATAATAACTTTTTATAGCTCTATTTAGTTGTTATTAACGTGATATTCATTTATTTTATGTGAAAGATTCTACTTATAGTGAACATTGCTGCGCGGACGCAGACGGGCGAAGTTTTGTTGAGCATTTCCTACTGGCTATAGCCAAATGTAACATTGTTGTGTAAATTTAGATAGATAAATAAAACATTTTTTGTCTTACATCAGACACAACAATATAAGACGGTAAATGGATTAAAAGAGAAAAAT